AGCCTCGACCTGCTGGGCTCAGGCGATCCTTCCGCCTCAGCCTTCCAAGGAGCTGGAACTTCAGACATGTACCACCACGCCCAGCAAATTTTTTGATTTATTGTAGAGATGAGATCTCGCCAAGTTGCCCAGGCTGGTCTTGAACCAGCAGGCTCAGGCAATCCCCTCACCTCGGCCTCCCAAAGTGCTGGGATTACAGGCTTGAACCACCGCACCCAGCCAAGATTTTTAACTTTAGTTTACCAGTATTGCCACTAACAGTATTGCCAGATCATAGGTTTACAGAATTTCCACTTCATATAACTCTTAATCATATTAGTTTACAGGCAGTAAGAAAATAGTTTTGACTTCATTCTGATATCAACTTTGACCTAATTAATTGAGATGCTAGCTTGAATGGAGCAGGTAAAGATGATAACGTTAGATTATTTCTTGGAGTCAGATTTTTTTTTTTTTGAGTTGGAGTCTCACTCTGTCACCCAGACTGGAGTGCAGTGGCTGCTCCTGGCCACTGTAGCCTCGACCCGCTGGGCTCCGGCGATCCTTCCGCCTCCACCTTCCAAGTAGCTGGAACTACAGGCGCGCGCTACCACGCCCGGCTCATTTTTTGATTTATTGTAGAGATGAGGTCTCGCCCAGTTGCCCAGGCGGGTCTCGAACCCGCGGGCTCAGGCAATCCACTCACTTCAGCCTCCCAAGGCACAGGATTACAGGCTGAGTCACCGAGCCCGGCTGGAGTCAGATTTTTAAATATAAAATAATGTGTCAAAATATTTCTATAAACCAGGCAGGTCAGAGTTTGTTTAAGGAACACGCGACCCTGTCCCTTTCCATCCAGTCACCCACACTTGACCAGAATGGCCGTTTCTCCCTCTTCCCCCTGCCTGCTCGTATGCACAGACCTCAAGCCTCCTCAGTCCCCAGTGCTCAGGACAAATGTTTCCGAAATCTCTCCAGACGCCCCCAGCTACAAGCAGCCCCTCGGTCCCCTGGTCCACGTCCCTCTGTGGCTAAACCTCCCATGCCACAGTCTTCTGGTTGTCACATTCTCCCACGATGATCACACTCGTTAGGAAGTTATCCACCGGCGTGAAGTAAAACACTGTCACGGCGCTGGCTCGTGAGGCTGGAAATTCACACCCGTCTGCTCCCACTGTCCCTTCCCTGAGTGTTTCCGAATCTTTTAACCCCGATGTTTGGCTCTGCACCGTGGCTCCCCGTCAACTGCCCTGGCCCTTCCCCTCTCCAGGCTGACAACCTCCTTGCCCACCTCCCCCTCTGGGCGCCACGGCTCTGGCTCCAGCCCCATCATCTTCATGCTTGGCAGGAGAAGGAGGGCAGTGCCCACACCTTGCCAGGCTTCTGTGATCAGGAAGGAGGGACCAGACGACCAGCTGACACACTGCTCCTGTGGTATCGTCCCCCAGTACGAGTTCCCCAGAGAGAAGCCCTGGTTCCTTCCACATATTTGTGTCTCTAGTATGCAGGGTAGTTCGGTTGCACACAGTGCTGTCCTCGGTGTTTGGTGAATGAACGAGTGAGGGTGAAAAAGATCACAAACGAGTATAATATGATCCTTACGAAACAGGCCAGACAACCTAGGATCAGGCCGACAGGCTTTCTGTTATGAAACTTTTGTTCTCTTAAACATAATATTAATAACACCTGGGCTTAAATTTTTAGTGAGAACCAGATTTAACCTTCAACTGTTTCTCTGTGGTTCCCAAGAGATGACAGCTGCACCGTAACAAAAACAGTGCTGTTTTTAGGGTGTGACTCCCGGAGTTAAGGGGCAGTTGGTGGCCCGGAGCTGGGCCATCTTCAAGCTCCCTCACTGCCCTAGGAACTTTCTATTTGGAAAGTAGCACGTCCCCACGGTGAAGGGCACAGAAAAGATCTTGCTATGAATCCCAGAGATTGGGGCAAGTCGCCTATTCTCTCTGTCTCTATTTCCTTATCGAGAAACTCACAGCATTGTTGTACAGGATGAATTAAGTCATAGGGAGACATACCTGGCACAGAGCCCGCAAGAGTGAGCATTTGATTAATGGAAACAGCTGTCCCCATCACTGTCATGGACTTCAAGATGGTAGACTAACCACAAGACCCTCAAAGCACCTCACCTCCCAGCATTCCCACCTTTGTATGGCCCCTCCCTCCCCCTCCCTCTGGCTTAGACACATGACCCTCTTTGGCCCATATGAAGTTAGCAAGAGTGATGCAGTCCAGGGACTGATAAACACTTGCACACTGGGGCTCGTCCTGGACTCTTCCATCTCTGGATCTTGTTGCCATATGAAAAGTTTAGGCTATGAATGAACGGCCATGTTTAAGAGGCCCTGGACCATGAGAGGCCGTCTCAGATGTTCCAGCCAAGTTTACAGCTGAATACAGTCGCACAAGTGACCTCAGTCGGTGACATGGAAGAGAGAGGACCCACCATCGCCACTGAGTCCTGCCTAAGTTGTAGGATCAGGCATATATCAATAGTTAGGTTTCAAGCACTGAGTGTTGACATGGTTTATAGCATGGACAATAGGTCAAGGAAGCTATCTAATAAGATCTGTGTGTAGACAAAGTGGAGTGAAATCCATCAGTCTGTCACTCCATAACATTTTCTCTTCTTTTTTAAATTAGAGAACAGGTCTCATTATGTCGCCCAGGATGGTCTCTAACTCCTGAGCTCAAGCAATCCTCCTGCCTCAGCCTCCCAAATTGATGGGATTACAGGTGTGAGCCACCACGCCCAGCCACATACAGTAACATTTTCTAGCCAGATGAGCAGCCACCTTTGGACAATAAACCACTGCACAAGATGAGAAGTAGTTTAGACCAGGCACGGTGGCTCATGCCTGTCATCCCTGCGCTTTGGGAGATGGAGGCGAGAGGATTGCCTGAGCCCACAGGTTCGAGAGCAACCTAGGCAACATGGCGAGACCTCGTCTCCACAGTAAATTAAAAAATTAGCCGGGCATGGGGGCACACGCCTGTAGTTCCAGCTACTTGGAAGGCTGAGGCAGAAGGATCACCTGAAGCCAGCCAGTCGATGCTGACTCAAAAAAAAAATGTAGTTTATTCTTTCCACCCTGTCCGCGCCTCAAGCTCTCCCAAAGTAAAGCATATACATAAAATCTGCTCAATTGCTCTGAACCTGAAATGAGTGCCTTCGTCTGGTGAACTGTCCAGCCGTCACTCCCTTCCCTCTTCCCTGGAAGGCACCGTCCTCGCCCTGAGGGGCTTCTACCACTTCCAGTCCACATGTCTAGGAGATGGCCACCAACCTGGCCCCTGCGCCCTTTGCCCCCTGTAATCCCGGGAAGCATTTCCTGTCCCTGCATGGTCAGAATTTTCAAACTGTCCCAGAGCCTCTGGATACCCATCATCACCTCCATCGTGTCAGGGGAGGTTTTCTCCTCTGCCCAGTCTAGACTTCCCAGCACTAAGTACTGACGTGGTTTGTTGCATGACAGTAGACAGTGGACACTGGATGACAGGGTCCTGGTGCAGTGTGATAGGTGGTCATACGATGGGCTGTGAGTCTGTTTTGACAGGTAATGGCGGCAGAAAGGATCACCTGAAGACAAGAGCTGGGGCTCCTCCCTGCTTTAGCATTCTCTATCTGTGTGACCTCAGGCAAAGTTCTTTCCCTCTGTGGGTTGCAAATACCCCATCTATGAAGTAAGGAGGTTGCGAAAAGAGGTCAGAGGTCCTTGACCTAAGCCTATGAGTGACACAGAGAGAGAGAGAGAGAGAGAGAGAGAGAGAGAGAGAGAGAGAGAGAGAGAGAGAGAGAGTGTGTGTGTGTGTGTGTGTGTGTGTGTGTGTGCGCGCGCGCGCACACATTTGTCCAGAAAACAGATTCAGAGCATATATCAGATTCTCAAGGGAGTCTGTGATGCCGAAAAGACAAAGCCGCCCTTGATTACATGAATCTTCCAGCTCCAACATTCATTCTGGGGGTCTCTACCTGACAAGGAGACATGGATCCTGAAATTCATATTCTCTCTGGCTCTTTTAATGCTTTCCCAGTTGTTTTGTTAACACTGAAATGTATGAAAGAAGAGAAACGTGATCTCTTGGGCTTGGGCGTCTGGAGTCAGCTAACACTGCCCTGGAGACGGAAACAAAGCCTGGCTGCCTCACATCAGCCTCTATTGTCTGCACAATCAGACTCCCATTCAAGTTTGAGCCCAAAGGAAGACATTTCTTAATTGGATCCTCAAAGCCGGTGAGGTTGAAATTCTCAAATCGGAGTGCGTTGTTATCCAATATTTCTGCTTTGTGCTCCTTCCACCCCCATCACAGTTAGGGAGGTGGCAAGAAGAGTCTTGGCTCGGTATCCAGACCGAGTTCAGATCCCTGCCGTGTAGACCACGTGAGCAAGGCCTCCGGCTTCCCCCTCAGTAAGCAGAGGTACCTATTGCAGAGCATTTTGTGAGAATTAAGTTAGCCTGTCTAGGAAGAGGTTCAGCATATAATAAATGCTCAATAAATGTTAAGTATTACCATTAGGACTTGCTATTTAGAAAAGCCAGAGAAGCTGGGCTCGGTGGCTCAGCCTGTAATCCTGCACCTTTGGGAGGCTGAGGTGAGTGAATTGCCTGAGCCTACGGGTTTGAGACCCACCTGGGCAGCGAGACCTCATCTCTACAATAAATCAAAAAACCAGCCGGGCGTGGTAGCGCATGTCTGTAATTCCGGCTACTCGGAAGGCTGAGGCGGAAGGATCGCCGGAGCCCAGCAGGTCGAGGCTGCGGTGGCCGGGAGCAGCCACTGCACTCCAATCTGGGTGACTGAGACTCCAACTCAAAAAAAAAAAAAAAAAAAGGAAAAGCCAGAGAGTCCGAATTGTCACACAACCTGGCTTCCCAGGATAAAAAGCCAACCTCATAGGCTAACTCTGCCCCCGATTTTTACCCGCCTCAGACCCAAATCAGGCCCCGTGGGAGAGCTCTTGGGCTGATAAAAGAATGTTTCCAAGTCTCAGGGGGACCAGGCGGCGCGTAGCCCGTGACCTCCCCATCGCCAGTTACTCACTCGCTGTGCTGGAGGTGCTGTCTGTCTTCCAGTCTCCTCGTCTCAGCTCCGTCCTGGGGGGGAAGATACTCTTCCTGGGGCCGCTCTCATAGACCCCAAACTCCACCTTCCCGGGCAAGAGCTGTGAGTGCCGAATCGGGACCGTGATCTCCAAGTCTGGAAGGAGAGGAAGAGGGACAAGCTTCGAGATCAGACTGCCATCTGCCAAAGAGCACAACGCCTCCCTCTCCGCCTGCCTCCTCAGAGAAGAAGGGAGGGGGCCCCTAGACTGGTCACCGCGACTTCGGCACTGAAACTCCACGCATCTCGCGTGGCCATCGCTGGAGATGGAAGAGAGGGATGGGGGAAGGTGAGAAGCCGACAGAGAAGCATGTCTGCGGGCAGGAAGGACACGTAGTTAGAGAAAAGCTGACCCAGCGCCGCCCGTGAGCAAGTCAGTCGCCCTCTCTGAGTCACTCCCTGTGTCTGAGGAGGGGGTGATGCCCCTCACTGACTGTAATAACAGGTTATCCTGAGCACCAGGGACACAGCTCTGACAGTCTCCCTGTTCTCAGCTCATTTAATCCCCAACAGCACCCGGGAAATAAATACTATTATCGTCATTCCCAACAGACACGGGTCCTGAGAAGTAAACTGGGCCACCCTGCCTGGCAGAGCCGGGATTTGAACCCAGGCTCCCGAATCCAGGCTCCTAACCATCACTCATAAGGCCTTTCGCTCCCTTCATGGGTGATGGGTGGCGGGTGGGTACCCACACGGAAAGCGATGACCCTGAGAGTTCATGCATGGAGGCCCTTTGCAGTGACTCAAGCCTATAATCCCAGCACTTTGGGAGGCCAAGGCAAGAGGAATGCCTGAGCCCACGGGTTCGAGACCAGCCTGGGCAACATGGTGAGATCTCATCTCTACAATAAATCAAAAAAATTAGCTGGGTGTGGTAGCGCGCACCTGTAGTTCCGGCTACTTGGAAGGCTGAGGCAGAAGGATCGCCGGAGTCCGGCAGGTCAAGGCTGCGGTGGCCGCGAGTGTGCCACTGCCCCCCAGCCTGTGTGACAGAGTGAGACTCCAACTCAAAAAAAAAAAAAAAAGAGGCCCTTCAGGCCCATGAAAGGTCTCGTGACTTCCAAGGCTGCTTGGGGGTGAACACAAATGATTCTTTCGGGAGCAAAGCACCGACCTGACCTCCTCACTGGCTCAGTCCTGCTCAGGGGTCAGTCTTTATTCCTTCCACCATTCCCACCCCTGGCTTCCCACCCCTGGAGAACATGTCTAGGGTGCTGTCACCAGCGTCCTCTCCAAGAAAGTGGGAGGCAAATGGAGCCCCTGCCACAGGCCTCCTCGGGATGCCTGGACTTTCCCAAGCCAGCAGCAGGGGCCTCTGGGAAGCTGTGGCTGTGTAATCACAGTGGACAAGGTGTGAGCTCTGGGGACGTGAGCTTCCTTCCTGCATACCACTTCCTCCGCCACCTCCCTGCTTCAGGGCGAGGCAGGAAGTTCAGAGAGTCCAGGGCCCATGGTGGCTCTCACTGCCAAAGCCACAGGTCCAGAGGGGTACACGGCCATGCCAGAACAAGAGGAAGGAGCCATGTGAAGACAGGCGAGACTCTGTCCCTTGGTGAACAATCTGCACAGAGGCTTTTAAAGGGTGGATTGGTGGCTCTTCCAAGTGCAAGCTGTCCTTATCCAGAGATTCCAGTCCCAGGTGTAGGGTCGGATCCTGGTGTCCAACCGGCTTCTGAAGCCCTTGTGTCATACAGGACTTTTTCACGTCCTGGGATCCCTTGGTTACAGCTGTGTGGTGATCGCACCCACCCTAACTGCTTGGGCAGAGAGTGGTTACGGCGTTTCCACCTGGGTGCCACCCATGGTATCTTAGAGCCCACACAAGTGTCATACTTTTTTTTCCTCCCAGCTTTGACCTACGTTTTTCAAAAAATCATCTTTTTGCCAGGCGTACTGGCTCATGCCTATAATCCCAGGACTTTGGGAGATAGAGGCAAGAGGATTGCCTGAGCCCAGGAGTTTGAGATCAGCCTGGATGGCTTGGCGAGACTTTGCCTCTACAATAAATTTAAAAAAGTAGCCGGGCGTGGTGGTGTGCACCTACAATTCCAGCTACGTGGAAGGCTGAGGTGGAAGGATCGCCTGAGCCCAGCAGGTCAAGGCTGCAGTGGTTGTGAACATGCCACTGCATTCCAGCCTGGGCGACACAGTGAGACTCCATTTCAAAAAAAAAAAAAAAAATCATCTTTTTAAGGGAAGTTCCTGTCTGCAATTTTCTACCCTCAACCAGTTCTACAAGGAGGGAAAGTAAAATACACAGGAAATAAAATAGGAGGTCAAACGTTCAAAAAATTAGGTAGACTAAGTCTAAATGTTTACAAAAATCTCGATATTCTTTGAAGAAACAAAGCCAGAAATAATTATCATGATTATATTGATGGTGCTTTCCCAAAGTGCATTTATAATCATTATTCTACCTCCTTTGAGCTTCACGACTTCTCCATTAAGCAGTAAGTCAGATATGACCCATGATGGGAAAACTGAGGAACAGAGTGGCTAAAAAAGAAAAAAATCGCCCTAGATCATAAAGTGATTTGGTGACAAAGCTGGGATCAGAACCCAGGTTTCCCGGGACTCAGGTTGCTCTTCTCTGTCCTGCCTGTAGGACACACCCAGAACATAAATATGGACTGTGTTTCTTTTCTTTTTTTTTTTTTTTTTTTTTTGAGTCGGAGTCTCACCCTGTCGCCCAGACTGGAGTGCAATGGCCGCTCCCGGCCACCGCAGCCTCGACCCGCTGGGCCCCAGCGATCCTTCCGCCTCCGCCTTCGGAGTCGCCGGAACTACAGACGCGCGCTACCATGCCAGGCTAGCTTTTCATTTATTGTAGCGATGAGGTCTCACCAAGTTGCCCAGGCGGGTCTCGAACCTGCGGGCTCAGGCCATCCACTCACCTCTGCCTCCCAAAGCGCTGGGATTACAGGCTGAGCCACTGAGTCGAGTCCGGCCATCAGTGATTTTCATATGCTTTTGGTTTCCATGAAACAGAATTATTTCCTCCAATGAAAACAGAAGTTCAACATGGAAAAGGGATCTTTCAAAGGGCGGCGGTGGTTGAAGCAGAGTGAGCGGCCCCCAATCCCAAGGACCCTAATCCACCCCTCCCATTCCCCGATTCCCTTCACCAGGCCCTGCCCGCCTGTCCCCACTAACACCTGTAGCAGCCCCGAGGCCCCTCAGGGAACTCAGAGTGAAAATAGGTCATTATTATAAGTTACTGTGTAACTAGATACACAACAGGTTGTACGGTGTTAACTAACGTGTTGTACTTGTCCCACAGTGAGTGGTTCCTTCTCTGTGGCACATACCCTGAGGTCTTGGGCCTAGCCATGCAGTACCGGGTCCAACTTTCCAACCGCCCAAGTGTCCTTCTCCCAGCAGGCCTTCCTCAATACTTGAGGGAGCTGGAGCATCAATATCCCGGCTCTCCTGCTCCTCGCGGGAGTCGGGGGTATCCTCCACTGACCCCTTCCCTTCACCTCTCCACCCCTTGCCTATTCCCCAGAATCACCTCCCATGCCAGCTATTAGCCCTCACATCCTTGTCAGGGAAGAAAAAGTTCTAGAAAAGGAAGCGGCAATGGCTGCACAAGGGGCGTGGATGGTGTACTTAACGTCACTGAACCGTACACTTAAAAATGGTTCAGGCCTGGGCGCGGTGGCTCAAGCCTGTCATCCCAGCACTTTGGGAGGCCGAGGCAAGAGGATTGCCTGAGTCCAGGGTATTAAGACCAGCCTGGGCAGCTTGGTGAGACCTCGTTTCTACAATATATCAAAAAAAATTTAGCCAGGTATGATAGCGCACGCCTGTAGTTCTGGCTACTTAGAAGGTTGAGGTGGAAGGATTGCCTGAGCCCAGCAGTTGATGCTGGGGTGGCCGTGAGCATGTCACTGCCCTCCAGCCTGGGCGACAGAGTGACACTCTGACTCAAAAAAAAAAATGGCTCAGGCCGGGCGCAGCAGCTCAGCACTTTGGGCGGCCAAGGCAGGAGGATTGCTTGAGCCCAGGTGTTTGAGACCAGCCTAGGTATCACAGTGAGACCTCACCTCTACAAAAAAAAAAGAAAATCAATAAACTAGCTGGATATGGTGGTGCCCACCTGTAGTTCCAGCCACTCGAGAGGCTGAGGTGGAAGGATCACCTGAGCCCAGGAGGTCGAGGCTGCAGTGAGCTGTGATTGTGCCACTGCACTCTAGCCTGAATGACAGTGAAATCCCGACTCAAAAAAAAAGGGGGCGAGGGGTTTCAAATGGTAAATTTTATGTTATACATACATTTTCTTGCAATAAAAACAAAAAACAAGGAGGCACTTAGGGCTGACAGGTAGAACATTCCTCCCATGAAGATTGCTTGTGGTCCCCAGTCATTCTTGTTCAGTGTCAATTTACATATAGTTTTTTTTGGTTTTTGGTTTTTTTGGATTCTGGGTTTCACTGTCTCTCAGGCTGGGGTGCAGTGGCATAATCATGGCTCACCGCAACCTCAACCTCGCAACCTCCTGGGCTCAGGTGATCCTTCTACCTCAATCACCTAAGGAGCTGGAACTGCAGGCACACACCACCATGCCCGACTCATTTTTTTATATTTTTATAGAGACGAGGTCTCACTATGTTGCCCAGATGGGTCTCAAACCCCTGGGCTCAAACAATTCTCCCGCCTCAGTCTCCCAAAGCGCTGGGAGTCACCACACCCGGAAACTTATTTCTAGTTTAATCTTTCTTTCTTTTTTTTTTTTTTTTTTGAGTTGGAGTCTGTCACCCAGGCTGGAGTGCAGGGGCACATTCATGGCCACCCCAGCGTCGACCTGCTGGGCTCTAGTGATCCTTCTGCCTCAGCCTTCCAAGTAGCCAGAACTACAGGCACACACTACCACACCTGGCTAATTTTTGACTTATTGCAGCGACGAGGGCTTGCCAGGTTGTCCGGGCTGGTCTCGAACCCGCGGGCTCAGGCAATCCACTCATCTCAGCCTCCCAATGTGCTGGGATGACAGGCTGAGCCACTGAGCCTGGACTAATCATTCAACAGTTATGACATTACTTAAGGCCCCTGATTTTCAAACGAACATATCTAACACCCTTCTCTCCCAAGAATTCCTTGTCAGAGGATCTGCTTCTTGGGGAGTAGGGAGGCAGGGGAGGACGGACAAGCCAAGCCATGCTTCCTTGGAAAAATATAGACACTGATCTACTAATTTAGACTACAGTGGAGGGATTTAAATCATGTATTCAGGGCCTGATCCTCCTTGAGTGAGCCTGGTACAGTGTTTCAGAACTTGCGATTCCAGGGCTCATCCCTGGACAGTGAGTCCCAGGTCAGTGTGTTTTCATTCTGGAAAATCCTGCCTGAGAGGCTCCAGCTGGCGGGTGTGCCCGTGTGTGATCATGCAGTGGACGGTTCCCGGAGTGCTTCCGTGTGCCTGGCAATGTGCTAGGACTGGTTGCACCCTAACTCGGTCAATCCTCACAGCAACGTTACGGGGGCTGGCACCTGTACTTCTGCCATTTTGCAGATGAGGTGTGAGGCTCGGAGAGGGGACTGTCTTGCCCACGGTTCCCTGATCGTTGGGGGTGGGCAGTGCGTGGGAATCTGGCCCCAACCCTGCTGACCCCAGAGTCCATGGCGGTCCCCTCCACTCCTCTGCAAGTGTGTCTGACTTCCTCCAAGACCTTCAGTGGCACCAGCTGGAGCCCGAGTGGGCGGTCAAGATGTGATGACCCCCCAAAACGCAGATCTTGAAGCCAGACTGCAGAGCACATGTGACTTTAGCATGCAGCCTCCCAGGCCCTCAATCTCCAGGTCCTCAAACACCAAATCACAGGTTTCGTGCTGCTGCCTGTATTTAAAAGCTTGAGACATTTCATTTCATCAAGGCTTCTGTCTTTGGGTCCATGTGCTCTAGTTTTAAAAAGTACCCAGCCCTCTTACCAGCCCTATTATCCAACTTGGGATGACTGTGCAGATCTTGAAACAGATTTCCTTTCTTCTCTCCATTCTCCTCCCCTCATCCAGGAGGGTAGACAAGCGTGAACTCAGGTTCTGGACACATACATTTAAAATCTAGACACCCTGGCCGGGCGCGGTGGCTCATGCCTGTAATCCCAGCACTTTGGGAGACGGAAGCGAGAGGATTGCCTGAGCCCAGGGGTTTAAGGCCAGACTGGGCAACTTGGCAAGACCTTGTCTCTACAGTAAATCAAAAAATTAGCCAGGCGTGGTGGCACGTACCTGTGGTTCCAGCTTCTTGGAAGGCTGAAGCAGAAAGATCGCCAAGCCCAGTAGGTCGAGGCTGCGGTGGCCATGAGCATGCCACTGCATTCCAGCCTGAGCGACAGAGTGAGACTCTGACTTAAAAAGAAAAAGAAATCTGGGCACCCAAGTAGAAGCCTTGGGGTGACCTCCCTGACCTTCTGCCATGATTATAACCTCTTAACCCCTCCTCTCCCGAACAGTCAAAATCATTAACACTCACGAGGCAACTACTTATCTGCGAAACACCGGGTTGGGCACCGTGGGACAGACCCTTGCAGGGAATACCAGACCAACTGACACATGGGCTACCAGGTGGCAAAGGCAGTGTCCCTAGGTCTCTGTAGTTGGCAGGGAGGGTGCCTGGTGCTCACTGAGTGCGGCACGAATGAATGATGCCACCAGACCTTTTCCTGAAACCGAGCATTCCAACAAAGGCTTCCTGAGCTCCGTTAGCATGCTGCACTATTCACTGGGAACTCGGCAGAGGGCCAGTGGACACGTTCTTGCCCTCACAGAGCCTACAGCGGGTGGGAGAGGGCATGATGGCCCACAACCAGGGGAACAGAAACAGAAGACAATTCCAGTCTGTGACGCGTGTAAACAGGGATGGCCAGGGAGCAGGGAGAAAGGCGTGGAGAGCTACCCTGGGGAGAATGGCAGAGAAGGCCTCCCTGACGAGATGCTGCAGCCAGACGCCTAAGGAAGAAAAAGACCCGAAGGTGATGCGCAGGAAAGGCAGGGGACTGCCAGGTGCAAAGGCCCCGAGGGAGAAATGCCCTTGACACGTTAGAGCAACAAGAAGAGTCTCTTGCGACTGGGGGAGAATGGAGGATGAGCAGAGGTGGGCTCGTGGGGGGCCTTCCTTGTGGGCCGTGGGTAGGAGTTTGCTTTTACCCTGCGTGGGACAGGAGCCCCCGGAAGGCTCTGAGCAAGCGAGGGGCACCGTCTGATTTTCTAATTTGTAAAGCATCGCTGGCTGCAGTTCGGAGGGTCAACAGTGGGGGCAAGAGTGGGCACGGGGAGCCAGTTGAAGAGGCTACTGCATTAGTCCAGGCAGGAGGTGGCGTGACTTGGCTGCGGTGGGGCGGGGGGGAGAGGGTCAGAAATGGCCAGATTTAGGTGCTTTGGAAGCTGCATCTCCGGGGGTTGCTGAGGGTGGGAATGAAGGGGCAGAATGTGAGAGGCGCAATGGAACGGAAGAGAGACAAGTTCCATGAATGCCCGAGGGAGGGACCGACACCAAAGCCTGGAGGGTCCAGGAAGACCTCACCGAGAAGACACTGCCAAAGGCTGGGACCTGCAGTCCCATCGTTGTCCTGCAGGTGAGACGAAAGAGGCATGAGCAAGGGGCCTGTGGCAGGTGTCACCTGCCTGACCAGGCACCTGGGAAGCGAGGTGGTTTGTGGCAGCAGGAGACAGTGCCCAAACAGGGCTCGACTTCAACTCAATTCTTGAAGCCTCAGGCTCCCTTCGACGACTCGGGGCCTCAGAAAGCCTCTTTCTGCCAGCCCCTCTTGCTGTGAGGCTGGCCTGGGTAGACCAAAGAGGCCCATCATGCTGGGGGCCCTCAGTGGGAAGGTGCATTGTGGGTACACGCCAACTCCTTGCTCAGGGGTGGCGGTGCCACATGGCTGGCATGGGGTGAGGGACGTCTGGGGGAGCGGGCGGCCCGGGCCACAGTGTACACCCCTGGAATCCAGGGCCCTGATGCTGCATGGGGGGAGCCCTGAGGCCTGGGCTTCTGAAGTGTGCCTGGTGTGGGCACAGATCACGTGATACCCCACCGGCCTCAGAAACAGACACTTTGTGGATGCAGTGTTCCCCTTTCTCTGCCCAAAAGACACACGTCCTCCTAATGGCCAGGGGAAGAGTCAGGTGCCCGGGGAGAAAGCATGCTCATCCTCGGAAGGATGCAGAGTTGAATCCATTCACTCATTCGATGCTGGCCGCATCTTACGGACCAGGTACCACATTGTTCACAGAGAAAACAAGACAACATTGTTGTCTGAGAGGCCCTCGCGATCCAGTGGGGGCCCCAGCTGTCAACAGGGTAGCAGGTGCTGGGCGAGTGGTTTGCCCCCTCAGGTCACAGCAGGAAGGGGGGTCAAGGACAGCAGATGACAGCAATGCCCCGCACAATGCAGCACCCCAGGAAGCCGCCTACCTGTCTGCTTTCCTGATCTTTGCTTTTCTCTCTGTCTTCGGGTAATGCTGTCTCTCAGTCGTTTGAGATTTTCCTGGGGGGCAAAAATGAGCTTAAGTTTAAAGTCCACAATAGAATGATAGCCTCTGGGAGTGAGAGTTTCTTTCTGGTTTTGTGCTGTTTGCAAGGTACACACGTTGCAGCAACACTCACCACACACAGGTGAGGCCCAGCCCGTTTGCTGTCGGCCAGAGAGAACCAAGTGCTCATAGAATTTGTGCCTGAGGAAAGGACAGCTCTTCCTCCATCAAGCGTCCTCCCCTCTGGCTCCCGGCTCCATCCTCAGCCTTACAACCCTCTGCACTCCTGCATGCGTGTCCTCAGCCAAGCCAGCCTCTCACCCACTCACAAAGGCCCCACCACACTCCTGCCTCGGGCACTGTGTTCTCGGTCATCCCCTTGACTTCGAGGGATGCTGATTCCTCGCCATGAGGCTGTTCCAGGCCTGGGTCAGGGCGCACCTTCTTCCTGAAGCCCTCCCAGACTGCTCCTGTCCTCCATGACTGCCCGTGCCAACTATCTGGCACCCGGGCTATGCTGCCTTGCCATGTGCACGTCTGTGCATGTGTGCACGTGCTCACGTGCCAGGCCTCTTCTGAGATCCTAAGCACTTTCCAAGGCGAGAGACCAGACCTTGTACCTTTCCATAATCCTGCCAACCAGTGTAGTCATTCAATGAATGCTGAGTAGTTGTGTGAGGGTCAAGATGGTTGCTATTTTAGTCAACCGCCAACAACCTCAAAGGTAAGTGTTCGAGCATTCTGGAAATAACACCCCAGGGAAAACAGTCCAGACAGTCTGGCTGGAGCAGAGATGCTCGGGAGGGTGTCACAGGAGGCCGCAGGGTGGCTGGGTCACAGCTGTCACTGCGAAGCTGGAGCTTGGCAGGATGTTGTGAGTTTGCCATGGCCTCAAGGCTCTGGTTAAGAAAAGGGGAAGAGCCCGGGCTCAGTGGCTCAGCCTGTCATCCCAGCACTTTGGGAGGCCGAGGCGAGGGGACTGCCTAAGCCCGCAGGTTCGAGACCAGCCCGGGGAACTCGGCGAGACCTTATCTCAACAATAAATCAAAAATGAGCCGGGCGTGGTAGCACACATCTGTAGTTCTGGCTACTTGGAAGGCTGAGGCGGAAGGATCACCGGAGCCCAGCAGGTTGATGCTGGGGTGGCTGTGTGTGCCACTGCACTCCAGCCTGGGTGACGGAGTGAGACTCCAACTCAAAAAGAAAAAAACAACAGAAAGAAGAGAGAGAAGAAAAGGGAGAGGTACAAAGGCCAGGAGAGCACTTGAGGCTATGCCCAATGCCAGGATGGCTGGGGGCATGGAGAGACAGGAACGGATATGAGAGAAAGGCTGTCACAGAGCAGGACCACATGGACGTGCTGCTGGTCCAAGGTGAGGAAGCAGGGGAGACGGCCCGGGAGACCCTGATGTCTGACCGCAGACTTGAGGGATGACAGTACAAGGCACAGAGAGCGGGAGTTGGAACGAGGAGCAGCCGCCAGGGCTGGCACGTCATCGGCCGGGCCGCAGGTCGAGGACACAGCCAGCTGGTGGCTGGGAACATGGGACTGGAGACACCGCACAGACCAGGAGCCAAGGGGAGCCTGGCAGTGCTCATTTGCAAGAGGGGGACGTGAAGAAGATGGGAGCGGGGGATGGACAGAGAGGCAAAGGAAAAGGAAGGTGGCACCAACCTATGAGTGGTCTCCATACTGCCAGCCCCTGGATGGGGGGCGCTGGGGAAGGACCAGGAGGCACAGGACCAGGGCCTAGGACAGTATGAGCCCCCCAGGGCTGGGGCTCTCGCCATGGTGAAAGCAAGCCACAGCTGTCTACCCCACCCAAGAGCTCTGGGCAAGTTCACGGGAAAGGAAGATGCCTCTTGGAGGTAAGTCCAGAAAGACAGCCAGCACTGATTATGCATTTACTCTGCACTGGACACATCACGGGCTTTACGGGCTTTTATATCAGCTGGTTCCCTCCTATACCTCAGAGGTAGGAGGAGGAGGGCGAAGGTCGCCCCGCCGAAGAACAAGGATGTAAACTCAGGCGGTGTCTACAGAGCTCCGGCTGCTCTGAAGACTGTGCCACGTGGTCGTACAGCGTGGCCAGGAGAAAGCACCCATTGTTGGGTCAGGGTCAGCCTTTCCTCAGCAGGACTGGGGCATCCCTGGGGCTCCGAGGTGAAGAAGGCCCCGGCTTCCTGCACTCAGCCCCGCGGGGCGCCCACCCATCCTCAGACCTCTCTCCCCACCCAGAGGGAAGAAGGCTGCTGGCAGTGTGAGCCCCAGTTATAAAGAGTGCTAAGGGCCGGGCACAGTGGCTCACACCTGTAATCCCAGCACTTTGGGTGGCCAAGGCAGGAGGATTGCTTCAACCCAGGAGTTCGAGGCCAGCCTGGGCAATATAGTGAGACGTCATCTCTCTAAAAAAAAAAAACTAGCTGGGCGTGGTGGTGCACACCTGTGGTTCCAACTACTCAAGAGGCTGAGGCAGAAGGATCACCTGAGCCCAGGATGTGGAGTCTGTGGTGAGCCATGAGCATGCCACTGTACTCCAGCTTAGTGACAAAGAGACCCCAACTCAAAAAACAAAACCAGAAACAAAAACAAAAACTTCAAACTATCCAGGCACAGCAAGAGTCTCCTCTGACTCCCCGTCCTCCAATCCCAGTCTGGTCCTGAGACGTAAGCACTGACCTGGACACAGGGCAGGCCTGTCAAATGTCTTTGCGTTTGGATACATGATTTACATACACGCCTGTAGACATGCAGAGCTTGGCCAGACTTGGTGGCTCAGTCTGTCATTCCAGCACTTTGGGAGGCCGAGGCCAGTGGATTGCCTGAGCCCGCAGGTTTGAGACCAGCCTGGGCAATTTGTTGAGACCTTGACTCTACAAGAAATCACAAAAATTAGCCAGGCGTGGTGGCACGTGCCTTAGGTTCGGCGGAAGGATCGCCACAGCCCAGCAGGTCAACACTGGGGTGGCCATGAGCATGCCACTGCACTCCAGCCTAGCCTCCAACTCAAAAATAAATAAAAATAAAAATAAAGGAATGCAGGGTTTGGCCGGTCTCAGCGGCTCAGTCTGTAATCCCAGCATTTTGGGAGGTCAAGGCGAGTGGATTGCCTGAGCCCGCGGGTTCGAGACCAGCCTGGGCAACTTTGTGAAACCTCGTCTCTAAGAGAAATCACCAAAATTAGCTGGGCATGGTGGCGTGCGCCTGTAGTTCCGGCTATTTGGAAGGCTGAGGCGGAAGGATCACCGGAGCCCAGCAGGTTGACGCTGGGGTGGCCATGAGTGTGCCACTGCACTGCAGCCTGGGCGACAGAGTGAGACACCAACTCAAAAAAAAGAAAAGAAAAGTAAAGAAAAGAAATGCAGAGTTTGTGTGCGTGCATGAGCTTGGGTGGTTTTGTATCCATAACTTATTTTGTTCATTTAATCATATTTCTTGGGAGTTTTCCAAGTTCTCTTTGAGTGTTAAAGTGTGATAGTTGTTGGGGTGGTGGTTGGCACCAGGAGTAGAGAGAGGGACTCAGAAGAAACAGCTGGAGAGCAAAACCAGAGAGCCAAAGGCAGGGAGACCCGGAAGCCGCAGAGCTGGGCTTTGCAGTTGAGTCTTTGCTCCTGACCTCCAGCCTCACGGCACCTGGAAAAGCCATCTCAGCCAGGAAGCCGTGTGCCTGCGAACCACAGTGACACAGACCCGCACTCACTGGTTCACAGTGACACTCCAACAAACGTTCGCAGGCGCGGCCAGCCACAGGGGCTCTGCGGCGGCCGTCCACAAGACCGCCATGGCCAGGCCTCCTCCACTGTCCGGCGGAGAAACAGACATGAAACAGATTCCATGACAGAGAAACAGACGCGAAACAGATTACCTGCTGGAAGCGGAAAGACTCCGATCGTTTCTTCTGGTTCAGCTGCCACTCTTTGAAGTGCAGCACAGCCTCGTCCACGTTGACGATGCCCAGCTTCACCTGTTCCTGGAGGGTGATCAGCTGCCGCTGGCCTGGCGTCTTCATCCCCGCAAAAGGGTCGTATATGCTCGACTGGGGCCTGTCCCTCCAGGGTCTGACGGGCGGCTCTGGAAAGGATGGCGAAACTCAGGTTGACAGCTCCCCACCTGGGGACGGCCGACCGGGAGGGAGTGGGGTTAAGGAGGCTGATCGCAGGCCCAAAAGGACACGTCTCAAAAGAACAATCACAAAGGTTGGGCTCGGTGGCTCAGCCTGTAATCCCAGCGCTTTGGAAGGCTGAGAAAAGTAGATTGCCTGAGCCTGCGGGTTCGAGACCCGCCTGGGCAAGTTGGCAAGACCTCAACTCTCCAATAAATCAAAAATTAGCTGGGCATGGTAGCACACGCCTGTAGTTCTGGCTACTCGGAAGGCTGAGGCAGAAGGATTGCCGGAGCCCGGCAGGTCGAGGCTGCGGTGGCCGGGAGCGGCCACTGCACTCCAGTCTGGGTGACAGAGTGAGACTCCAACTCAAAAAAAAAAAAAAGGAAGAACAATCACATGTGGAGCCCAGAAGACGGAAATACAGCCAGGCACGGAGGCTCAGCCTGTCATCCCAACACTTTGGAAGGCCACGGCGAGAGGATTGCCTAAGTCCGGGGATTTGAGACCAGCCTGAGCAACTTGGTGAGACCTTGTCTCTACCATAAATCACAAAAACTAGCTGGGCATGGTGGTATGTGTCTGTAGTTCTGGCACAGACCGAGGCAGAAGGATCACCTGAGCCCAGCAGGTGGAGGCTGCAGTGGCCGGGAGCGTGCTACCGCACTCCAGCCTGGGCGACAAGAGTGAGACTCCAACTCAAAAAAAAAGACGGTGGAAACAGGACATGGGAACAGGGAAGAGGGAAGCAGCTAGGAATCTCAAAGCCTCTCACACAGGAGCAGACATGGCCACAAACTTAAGGGAGCTGTGACGTCTGTTGAGTCCCCCACACCTTAATTATTAAGGTGCCCTGAGACCAGCGTTTCTCAACCTCAGTACTGCTGACACTTTGGGCCAGATAATTCTTTGTTGTGGGGCAGTGTACCATGGGATGTCCAGCAGTCTCCCTGGCCTCTACTCAGTAGATGCCAGCAGCAGCCCTTCCCCGGTTTTGACCATCAAAAATATCCCCAGGCAGTGCCAATGGCCCCTGGGGAGGGGAAGCAAGAATCACTGGCAATCGAGATCACTGCTCTAGAGGAGAGCGTACAGAGAGAATTCAGCCAGGATGCAGCTCTCAGCTCTATTCTAGCCTTTGCTGTCTCGGAGCAGCTTGGGGCACAGAGGTGGGCTTGTAGGTGTGAAGTGCCCACAGAGACTGGAATGCCACTAGGATGATGACCCAGGTCTAATAAGCACCAGGCATAAATCAGACACAAGGCCGGGCACGGGGTCTCACGCCTGTAATCCCAGCACTTTGGGAGTCCGAGATGGGAGGATTGCTTGAGCCCAGGAGTTCGAGACCAGCCTGGGCGATATAGCAAGATCTCATCTCCACGAAATATCAAAAAATTAGCCAGGTGTGGTGGTGTGAGCCTATAGGGAGGCTGAAGCGGAAGGATCGCCTGAGCCTAGGAGGGCGAGGCTACGGTGAGCCATGATTGTGCTAGAGCACTCTAGCCTAGAGTGAGACCCCACCTCAAAATATAAACAAACAAACAAACAAATAAATAAATAAGGTTCCAGCTTCCAGCTGGGTGTCCTCGGGTTATTTCTGTGCCAGCCTCTCTCCCACATTCCAAACTCGTCTACAAGTAAATCTCCGCTTCGGAGAGTCTAGGGAAATAGATGCCAACCCTCCTTTCCCTCCAGGCTGTGACTCCGGTTCTGTGCGGCACAAGCCTCCTGCAGAGGGGACGGGGGCCACTGAGGCCCGTGAGGACAACTTGACATTTTACTACTCAGTTCGAGTAGGGCCACATGATTCTAAATTTCTCCAGCAGGACCCCACTTGGGAGATGGCTTCTCCAGGGGATAAAAGCCTCAAAGAGCATGTCTGTCATTCTGCCCAACCATTCACTCGCCTGTCTACACACACTCAGAGTCTTCTCCTGGGTTTACCCTATCCAAGGCCGTCTCTAACAGTATTGGGAGATGGGGATGGCAGTAAAAAACAAAATGCACACGCCAACCAGTTCGATCTCCCACTACGAAAGTCCTGGGGGATGCCTCCAGATTTCAGAAGGTGTCATGGTTACTTTTCAAGAGACTCCTCTGTGGGGTAATACTGAATATCTCTATTCATACAAGGAAATTATTCAAGGGGGGGAAAAAAAAGAGCACGTAGCTCCTCAAACTTCCTTTTTGTTTTTTGGTTTTTTTGAGTCAGAGTCTCACTCTGTAGCCCTGACCGGTGTGGGTGGCGCGATCACGGCTCACTGTAGCCTTGAACTCCTGGCTCAAGAGATCCTTCCACCTTGGCCTCCCAAAGTGCTGGCATTACAGGTGTGAGCCACTGCACCCGGCCTCCTCAAACTTCCTTAAAAAGTTTTTTCCAAAAATGAGACGTCCAAGTTGTTGCCAAGTTCACGAGGTATTTGGCAAGCAAAACACCTTTTAAATCAAAGTTGAATCAAAGTAGAGTTTAGCCAGTACACGTAGAGTGAGCAAACAGCCCAGAAGGCTGGCCCAGGAGGTGAAGTCTGGGTGCTGGGCTTTTGGCTTTCATCCTGTTGGTGGCAAGCTCAGTGTCTGCATTGTACTTTTATGTGCTACAGGGACAGCTTCGACTATAATACCATCCTTTGTATGATCAATCTGTGCAGTATTCTAGGGTGCCTAGCCTCATCCCTCCGGCTCACCATCAATGCCAGACTCTCTGACAGCGTCACCGCGGGGTATCTCCTGAATCTCTCTGTTTTTCAGTGCCAAGCAGTTGTCATTACAGTCACTGACATGTGAACACCTGCTACACGGAAGTTCAGTCCACGTCTGCCTTACCTTTCCTGATGCTCTCCGAGGAAACATAGAAATTCCCAGGCCGCTCTTGACTTTTCTCTGCAAAAACTGTAAGATGAAAAATAATTCTGAGTAAAAGCCAAGGCATGTATCTTTCTTTCTTTTTTTTTTTTTGAGTTGGAGTCTCACTCGGTCGCCCAGACTGGAGTGCAGTGGTCACTCCCGGCCACCACAGCCTCGACCCGCTGGGCTCCAGCGATCCTTCCGCCTCAGCCTTCCAAGTAGCCGGAATTACAGGCATGCGCTACCACGCCCGGCTGATTTTTTGATTTATTGTAGAGATGAGGTCTCGCTGCCCAGGCGGGTCACGAACCCGTGGGCTTAGGCAATCCACCTACCTCAGCCTCCCAAAGGTGCAGGATTACAGGCTGAGCCACCGAGCCCGTCTTATTTTTTATTTTTTGAATTAGAGTCTCACTCTGTCACCCAGGCTGGAATGCAGTGGCACACTCACGGCCACCGCAGCCTCGACCTGCTGCGCTTCGGTGATCCTTCCCTCTCAGCCTTCCAAGGAGCCGGAACTACAGGTGCGTGCTGCCTTGCCCGGCAAATTTTTGATTGATTATAGAGACAAGGTCTTGCCAAGTTGCCTGGGCTGGTCTCGAACCCGTGGGCTCAGGCAATCCACTCACCTCAGCCTCCCAAAGCACGGGATTACAGGCTTGAGCCACCGAGCCCGGCCAGAACAGACTTTTAAAGGCCAAGAGAGGAAACTGGGACATGAGAAATGTTCGTTTAGTGGTGAGACAGCATGGGGGCGTGGCTCCCTGGGCTCGGAACAAAAACCCTGGCTCTGCTGCTTTGAGCTCTATGACCTTGGACAAGTGGTTTGACCTCTGCCTGCCTCTGCTTATTATCTGCAGAATGGGGATGATAACAGTGCCTTTGTCGGGTTGTCATGAGGGTTAAATGAGTTAATACATGGGACGGGCTTAGAACAGTGCCTGGCACATGTAAGCCCTCGGTGTGAACTGTTACAGTCACTACTCAAGACTTCGAGATTGATGCCAATAGTCAGCAATACCTTGGCATGCTAGTTAGCCCAAGTGCTGTCTATGCAATGCCTTATGGTATATTTCACAAAACATTGTTTTAGAGATGGGGTCTCGCTGTGTTTCCCAAAGATAGCTCACCACAGCCTCAAACTCCGGGACTCCAGAGAATCTCCCACCTCAGCCTCCCAAGTAGCTGGGACTACAGCACGTACCACCATGCCCAACTAATTTTCTTTTCTTTTCTGTAGAGACGGGAGTCTCACTATGTTGCCCAGGCTGGTCTCGAACTCCTGGCCTCCTGCAATCTTCCCACCTTGGCTAATGCCTTACAAAGCATTTCCTGGTGTGTTATTTCATATGACCCTCACAGTAGGGCTACGCAGAGTGTTATGTATTATTCTGACATATGTATTAATGTATACATGTATTATTATGCTAGCCATCTTTTGTGTGTGTGTGTGTGTGTGTTGGAGTCTCACTCTGTCACCCAGACTGGAGTGCAGTGGCCGCTCCGGTCACTGCAGCCTCAATCTGCTGGGCTCTGGTGATCCTTCCGCCTCAGCCTTCCAAGTAGCTGGAACTACAGGTATGCTAGCCATCTTATAGACGAGGAAACGAAAGCTAAAAAGGATGAAATCACTTGCCCAATGTCCCCGGCCGTACAGCCGGAAAATGCAAGAGCTCAGAGATGAACCCGGGTGTCCTGACCTCCAAGCCACGGCCCCTTTTGTCATCTCCTGCCTCTCCCTGTCCTTGGCTTCTCCACGTTTTCTAGCAAGTTCATCAGGCCTCTTTAGGAATCACCACTGCCCTGTCCCACTGCCTCCCCACCACTGAGCCATCAGTACCATTCCCCACGCCACTGCCATTGAAAAAGTACCAGTGTATACATTTGCACGCTTCCTAGTTTGGGCTCCCTCAAAAGCAGAGTAAGAGACGAGGATTTGAGAAAAGGTCATCTATGTGGGGGGCGTTGGGAGTGAGACAGGGCAAGCTAGGGATGCCCAGAAAGCCATGTGCACCGTGTGACTCAGAGTTCTCCCACCAGAGGGGCAGGTTGAGAGGGTTCTCCCCCGCCACCTTCTGCCAGTCCCAGTGGGGGTTGGTGCCCACGGGCATTCACTCCCCAGTGCTCCCTCCCTGTCCCACAGGAGGGCGGAGGAGGCTCCAGGCGAGGACGGGCAGGACGGTCAGTGAGCACAGAATGCAAAGGGCGATAGGCCATGGGCGGCCACCAACCGCGCCTGCTGCCCGTGCCAAGGAGAGGACACCCAAGGAGACGGTGAGTCACGAGCGCTGATGGCACCGGTGAGACCTGGTGTCTCACAGTTGTGTTTTCACCGGATTTAGGGCTCCAGGGTGAGCAAAAACAGGCAAAAACAAAAGTGTGTGATATTTGGGACATACAAGGGGGACCCAAAAATACCAGGAATTATCTTTTGGAGGGCAGGCTCCTTGTCATACAGGCTTTCCTCTCTAGGTATATGTTCTAAGGAACCCATCGGCATCCCTGTACAGCTGGCGTTGTCTGAGTACAGGGGTTCGGATTCAGAGGATTTTTTTTTTTTTGGGAGATTCTTTCAACGTGTTTGTCCATTTCATGATGGGTGATTTACGAGCGCACCTGCCCACACCACACTGAGTGTTCAGCAATTTTGTTTCGTTTTTTTGCATCAGAGTCCCACTCTGTTGCCCAGGCTGGAGTGCAGTGGCACGCTCACAGCCACCACAGGCTCGACCTGCTGGGCTCCGGCGATCCTTCCACCTCAGCCTTCCAAATAGCCGGAATTACAGGTGCACGCTACCATGCCCGGCTGATTTTTTGATTTATTGTAGAGGTGAGGTCTCGCCTGCCCAGGCGGGTCTCGAACCCGCAGGCTCAGGCAATCCACTCACCTCAGCCTCCCAAAGGCGCGGGATGACAGGCTGAGCCACCGAGCCCGGCTAATCAGGTTCTTGTGTATGTCTTCCTTTGCAACTGTGCGTGGATGCCTTTGGGAGCAGCGACTCCAATCACTGCCCCTTGTCGAGCTCCAGAATCTGTCCCGGGCTATAACCCTGCCTCCTGGGGCCGAGTGGAGATCATTCGGGAGGGACAGCCTCTGAGAATGGTTGAGAAGGTCGGGGGGTCCACGAAGTCCCTGCTGAGAGGCTCGGAGAACCCCACTTGGCCTCATGCCCACCACACTTGCCTTTAGAGATATACGGCTCATTGTCGGGAAGCTGGTGGCCACCAGCAACACTGGCCTCCGGCCTGGGCACGGGGACGGGAGGCCTGCTGGCCAGGTCCACCGGAAAGGCTTCATCGTCATCCACCGTGTGGTAAACGTCTTCTTCCTGGTCAAGGGAGCGCAGCTCTTTATCCAAACTGGCCATTCCCATGTGGTTGCCTAGAAGCAGAAAAGAAGGTGACCCAAAGCAGAGGTCAAACACCTCGGGTGCCCGCCAGTCAGAGCAGAGCGAGTGACCATACTTGTTTGTTCAGTTCTGCCCTCGGAACAACAGACTTTTCCCAGCACCCTCTCCCGTGTCATCTGCTCAGGACACCGTGCCGAGCAACTGAGAAAACACTGATGTCACCCTCATTTGCCATCCATCAATGCGCAACCAGACACGCGACCAGGCTCACCATCTCAGTTTCACTGCTGGGATTCAGTGATCCATCCCATTAGAACTGGGGGAAGCCCTAGGTAAGACCAACTGTCAAAGCTCAGGGCAGTCACAGCCAACTGTCCAATCAAAGTGGCACTTCTCACCTAGGGCTTAAAACAGGCTGCCCACGACTCCCCACTCAGGGAAACACTGCATTTGAGAGCAGGGGTCAGCAAACATTTTTTAAGGTCCAGTCAGTAAATACTTCCAGGTTCTGCAAGCCATAAACTCTGTCGCAACTACTCAACTCTGCCCCTTTGGCGTGAAAGCAACCATAACCAATACCAAATGAACGGGCATGTTGTGTTCCAGTAAAACTTTATTTACAAAACAGGCAGCTGGCCAGGCTGTGGCGTGTCTGCCATTGCTTGGGATTTTTCCTTCCTCTCCACTGTCAAAACCACCTGTCCCCTCCTGAGTCCCATCCTCTCAGCACACTGCTTTCTGTCACTACTTGGTGGACAGGCCTCATCTAAGTTGTAAATGGCTGGACAGGGTGGAGGCATCACCCATACAATTGAACACCCGCCACCTTTGAAGTCTCCAACAACAACGATACATCTTTATTAACTGCGTGTTACGTGTGTGGCCCACTCAAGACCTAACGCAGTATGACGACTCGTGTAACTCTCACACTCGTCTCAGCATACAACTAAAGAAACTGAGGCCTCAAAGAGTTCAATAACCTGACACAGGCTTTCCAGCTAACAGAAGGGAGGGATTGAGAACACAGCAGCATGTGTGTTCCTAGTCTCTATCCAACAGGGCCCCGACTCAGTAATCCTTGGTTATAATCCCGTCCTTGGCCAAGAAAGAACTGATTTTTCCTTGTGTCCTCAGCCCCAACGTCCAGAACCGTGCTTTGCACATGGTAGGTTCTCGATACATTTTGGTCCTGTAGAAGTAGACCCAGGCATTTTCAAAGAGGTCTTGGTGGAGGTAACTCATTGGCTCAGATGAGCATCTCCAGGGGTGGGAGCTGCTGGCCTGCCTGTAGTGGGCTGTGGGGGTGCTCGGGTAGGTGGGCGGGGGCAGCAGTGTCCTCCGGTCACCTCCCATACCACGCCCACAGCTGCCCGTTCTTTGAGGGAGAACCAGGCCACGGCTTGTGCTCATGCTCCTCCCTCGGCTTGGCCCTGCTCGCAGCCACAACTCACCTTCTAAAAACTTGCGGATCATGGAGTCCTTGGTGGTCTGAGAGAGACGGTCTCCGGGCATCGGGTTTGACGTGCTGGCCTGAAGCATTTCGACATCTAGAAGGAAGAGGAGACTGAGGGTGAGTATGTTGTTCTTTCACACAGCCAAGGATTTTACACAGGCAGATTTGCAAGGTCTGGGGACTTTCTTCAGAGATTCGAGCATTCATCCATCTACCCATCCCCCCTCCATCCATCCACTCAATTCCGACGCCCAGGAAGTGTGCAGCAGGAGCCATGCAAGAGTCACGACCCTCAGGCCCTTTCTTGGACCACAGACCTCAGAAGGTCTGTAATATAATATAAACATTCTATTTAAAACAGCAAAAGCTTGGGAGGCTGAGGCGGGAGGATCACTTGAGGCCAGGAGTTTGAGACCAATGTGGCAACATAGTGAGATCTTGTCTCTACAATTACAAAACAAAATCCAAAAACTTAGCCAGATGGGGTGGCTTGCACCTGCAGTCCCCGTTACTCAGGAGGCTGAGGCGAGAGGTTTGCTTGAGGCAGGAGTTGGAGGCTGTAGTGAACTGTGATCATGCCACTGCACACCAGCCTGGGGGACAGAGGGAGAACTTGTGAAGAAAGAAAGAGAGAGAGAGAGAGAAAGAAAACAGAGAGAGAGAGAGAGAGAGAAAGAGGAGGAAGGAAGACAAGAAGGGAGGGAGGGAAAAGAAATTAAGATCAGTGGTTTCTTGGGAACTTTTAAGATGGAAACGGGACAAGAAAGACAGAAAGATGTTCCACTGTTCACCTTGTATTTTAGTGCTTTGGCCTATTCAAAAATAAACTCAGGGTTCCGGCCATCTTTGCTTACCTTATTACCCCAAACCCACACAAAAGCCAAAACTCCTATGTCCCCCTACTCAGGGGACAATTCCCGACACAGCTGGACACACACAGTGAGTGCCAGGCACCGCGATGTCCTCTTACTTAGAACCCTGCGATTCCAAGGGAGGAGCAGCTGTGTGAACCCCCCTGACCCTGTCACGGCTGGAGTCTCTAAGGCAGACTGTGGAGAGGTGAGGGTGACCGACGGGCCGGGTCCCGAGCATTCCTTGAGGTGCCTTCATGTCTTAAAAATTTTTTCCTGAGTAAGAGCACACACTTCATTCATTCTTTCAAAAATCTAAGACCCGAAAAATCCTACTCGTGTGAGATTTTCAGGGTAATTTGCTTAATTGTGTTTTGGGGAACATTTTCCCCATGAAGTTCGAAAACCAGGGAGGAAGACATATTCTCCAAGTGTGTGCCCCGGGGGAGTGGCACCCTCCTCTCTTTACCAAGACTCTAAATTGCCCTCTTCTCTTCCACCCTGTCCCCAGCCTCCACTCCCAGCCGCCTGACCCTGGCTCCAGCCGACTTTTCTTCTTTTGATTTAACAGCATCATTTATTGGTAAGTCTTTTATCTTAAAAAAAATGTGGGGTACCCAACAATGAAGCACTGAGAAATATACTCCCATGGGGAGACTGGCTTGTGTCGACATCCCTAGAGATCAGGGGAGGGAGGCACTCTGCAGGCCTGCAGAGTGTCAGGTCGGTGATGCCCAGTGCCGAACCCTCTAGAAAACCACACCATCAAAAGTGGATTGGATTAAAAAAATGTGGTGCATATACACAATGGAATATTGCACAGCCATGAAAAAGAACATCATGAATTTCACAGCAACGTGGAGGGAATTAGAGTTTATAATACTGCGTGGTCTCTCACAGAAACAAAGATCTGAGTATCACATGTTCTCACTCATAAGTGGACCTTGAACAACTATCGTAATACTGTGAGAAAAGGATTGACAGCGGTGGGAAACTATGTGGGGGCAGGGAGGGGAAGGGAGGTGGGATTAATGGTAATTGATATCTGTCTGGGGATGGGGAGGCACACCTCATCAACAAGCGTACCTGCACAATGCATATTTGTATACCTAACCCTTAACTGTACCCCACGATTTTAAAATAAAAAATATGTGTTAATTAAAAAAAGAAAAAGAAATTGTCAAGCCAGGGAAAAAATACAGAATCACTAAACTGGCTCAAATAGAGATGTGAATTTGGCGTCTGAATAAGTGGCATTCCAAATCAGTGAGGAGAGATTTATCAATAAACGACATTGGTGTTCAAAAAAAGAAAGAAAGAAAGAAAGAAAACCACACCTGCCTCAGGCCCCAGTATCCCCAAGAACATGCTCCAGGGCATAGCAGCCTCTAATGGTTTTGATCACCGATTACCAAATCTCCCCGGCTGGTAACATCAGGGCACAAACCTCACACACACAGTCTGTCATCCCAGCGGACAAGAGAGGGAAACGCGCCGTACAGTTGAGGCAGGGGCCCTTTTAAAACAAAGAGATAAGGGCCTTCCCAGCATAGAAAAAGAATGTGTTAGAGAGAAAGTGGCATGGCATAGTCAAATGGGCGATAGTAACCCAGTTACACCCCTGAGCCACAAAATACCCAGACAAGAATGCAGGCTGCCAAATAAGGGAGACAAAGGGGTTACAATGTAATATAAGGCCCCGCCCCGCTGCATTCGGGGCTCAGCCTTTGGATGTGAATCCGCCAGGCCAGTGCCGACACAAATAAATGCTGCTTCCTGGCACCAAAAAAAAAAAATGCATCAGTGTCTCATCTCTCTCTGTAAAGAATCCTGCTACACAGTGGCCCAGCTATTTTCACGAACAAAGTTCAGTTTGGGAGAACTGATTTGCATGTCTGAGAGGCAGATGCAAAATTGAAGGAGCTATAGAGAGAATCGGTGAAATAAAACACAGAAGAAGACAGGCAGCAAAAGCAGCCCTGCTGGACCCTGCATGCTAAGTTAATAAGGATGCTGATGTCCACTCCTGGTACTACAGTCCTCTTCCTAATGTGTGCTGGGTTTTTTGTTTGTTTGTTTGCTTGTTTTTTGTGAGTTAAAGAAAGAACTTAACCTGGGCAACATAGCCAGATCTCATCTCTACAAAAAATTAGCCAGATGTGGTGGCACAAGCCTCTAGTCCCAACTACTCAGGAGGCCGAGGTGGAAGGATCACCTGCACCCAGAAGGTCGAGTCTGCAGTGAGCTGTGATTGTGCCACTGCACTCCAGACCAGACAACAGAGTAAGCCCCCAACCCAAAAAACAAAAACAACAACAAAAAAGAAAGAACTAAAAAGAAAATAAAAGCCAGGCGCAGTGAATCACACCAATAATTCAAGCACTTTGGGAGGCCGAAATGAGAGGATTGCCTGAGGTTGTGGGTTCAAGACCAGCGTGGGCAACTTGGTGAGATCTCATCTCTACAATTAAAAAAAAAAAAATTAGCTGGGCATGGTGGCACATGCCTGTAATTCCAGTTATTTGAAAGGCTGAGGTAGAAGCATCACCTGAGCCAAGCAGGGCAAGGCTGCAGTGGCCATGAGCATGCCACGGCACTCCAGCCTGAGCGACAGAGTGAGACTCCAATTCAAAATAATAATAATAATAGTGAGCACCAGTCATAGGACAGATCATCATCATGACCCCTTGATATGATACACTGAGAAGGACAAAGCCTCATTTCTAAGGCATTCTTGCCAAATATGCATACCCTCAGTCCAATCACAGAAAATGTCAAGCAAACCCAAATGGAGGGGTGTTCTACAAAATAACTGATCAGTGTTCTTCAAAAGTGTCAAGCGGCTGGGCTCGGTGGCTCAGCCTGTCAGCACTTTGGGAGGCCGAGGTGAGCGGACTGCCTGAGCCCACGGGTTCAAGACCCGCCTGGGCAACTTGGCAAGCCCTCATCTCTACAATCAATCAAAAATTAGCCAGGCGTGGTAGTGCATGCCTGTAGTTCCAGCTACTTGAAAGGCTGAGGAGGAAGGATCGCTGGAGCCCAGTGGACTGATGCTGGGGTGGCCGTGAGTGTGCCACTGCACTCCAGGCTGGGCGGCAGAGTGAGACTCCAACTCAAAAAAAAAGGGGGGGTCAAGACAAGGAAAGACTGAGGAACTGCTACAGATTGGAGGAGATTTGGGAGAAATGACCAAATGTGTTACCAGGTCCTAGAAAGGATCCCAGAACAGAAAAAGAACAGCAGAGGCAAAGCTAGAGACATTCAGGCAAAGTCTGCAGTTTAGTCAGAAGCTCCACGCCAGTGTCATCTCCTGTCGTAGAGATTTGCACTGTGGTTATCTAAGATGGTTATATTAGGGGAACTGGGTGAAAGCTACGCAGGAACTCTAGTATTCGGGCAACTTCTCTCTAAATCTACAAGTAGTTGAAAATGCAACTTTTTCTGGCCGTGCTCGGTGGCTCAGTCTGTGATCCCAGCACTTTGGAAGGCCGAGGCAAGTGGATTGCCTGAGCCTGCAAGTTCAAGACCTGCCCAGGCAACTTGGCAAGACCTCGTCTCTACGATAAATCAAAAAATTAGCTGAGCGTGGTAGCGCAGGCCTGTAGCCCCGATTCCTTGGAAAGCTGAGGCGGAAGGATCGCCAGAGTCCAGCAGGTCGACACTAGGGTGGCCGTGAGCATGCCACTGTACTCCAGCCTGGGCGACCGTGACTCCAACTCAAAAATAAAATAATAATAATAATAAAACGCAACTTTTGTCGTAAAGGAAGCAAAGAATAAATGAGAAAAGGAGAGGAGGACTGCGACAGCAAAACCACATCACCATGGTTTCCGGGGATGCTGCCACGGTCCTCCCTGCTGTCCACCTCACCCATCAAGATAAGTGCCTTCCCAGGACACTTCTGGATACAATCAGGGTGGCGCTAAACACCACCTGTGAGAACACGTATTGTGTCTTTACAGTCACGCCATGACTGGAGGTTAAGAGAGTGATTTTGGAAGCCACAATCAGCTCTGTGACCTCCGTAGAGCTGCCCTGTCTTGAGTCTCTCTGAGAGTTTCCAGCAGGATGATTTGAAGCTCGAGCTTTAAGATAAAAATGCACAGATTCCAGTTTGGCTTCTTCCACTTGGGGCTGTGTGACTGCATACCCACCAGTCCAGCAACAACCCATCTTTTTTTTTTGAGTTGGAGTTCCCCTCCATCGCCCAGGCCAGAGTGTAGTGGCACATTCACAGCCACCC